GCCAACTCATGCAGAACCACGTGGCACTCAATTCGAGGTGATTTGCATAATCGAGGCCCACAAATCGAGGTCCATAGATGCCTAGGCCCATATACACGAAGGCCCATTTATCATTGCCTCTTGAGGAGCATCCGAAACACATATGTCGAGGCCCTTTGAATGTGGATGAGGCCCTATTGCCCGAAGCTCTGTAGCTGAGGTAGCAGCCTCCGAGTCACAAAGCAGCATCTTCTATGACACTTCTCCCAAGAGATCCTCTGCACAAAGATCGTACTAGAATGATTGATAGGACGTTTGTCATGAGTGTAAATGTTATGTCTTGTCTTTGTTAGAGGCGGCTCTGCCAATCAATAAATGTATGGCAGGATAGGTGCGGCTGATACCTACAATTTGATATGTAAATTAACCGGATGAGGCCACGTGTACCCAGAACTAAAGGTCACGATCTAACTTGTGACACTATAAATACTCCCCCATGTATCACATACAAAGGCTAATGCAAGAATCAATATAAGAAGCCATACTTTACTCAACTCTCTTTTTATCTTGCAGCATAAACGAGTTCATACATATTTAAATACACATTTACCAAACATCGATTGGTAATTATTGTACAATTGTTCTATGATCATCTCGTCGAATTTCGAACGTTCTCATCCCATATCGTTGAGCTACTCTCACACCTTTGATCTGTCCGTTTTAGACCGTCCACATGTCTTTGCGTGTTGGACTTTCGCTTACGTGTACGCGGGTGGGTCTGGTATCTATTGGTAACATTTATTGGGTCAACAGATTGGCGCTGTAGTCATGGCTGATCCCCCAGGTGATGCTCCCACCGAACTGGAAGATGTTGAAATGATTGACGCACCACCCAATCCGAAAGTATTGGTCATCGATGAAATTGATCTCCGCATAATTGAACACGAACCTTAAGCATCCATAGTTGAGAAACTTGAAAGCTTCTCGGTGGACCCACGAGACACATCCAAATTGTTGAAGGTGGGCAAAGGCTTGGCTAGCACTGTGAAAGAAATGCTCAAGGATTTTCTAAGTAGGAACCTTGATATCTTTGCTTGGAGGCATGAGGATATGGTAGGTATAGATCCCAAGGTTAGTTGCCACTGCCTGAAAATTGATCCTAAGGTTGCTCGGCATAGACAAAAAAAGGAGAGCCCTCAATCCTGAGAGGTACGAGGCCCTAAAAGAAGAAGTTCAGAAGCTCATCCAGAATGGCTTCATTAGGGAGGCCACCTATCCGAGGTGGGTCTCCAATCCAGTTTTAGTGAAGAAACACAACGGCAAGTGGAGGGTGTGCATCGATTTCACTAACCTCAACAAAACTTGCTCGAAGGACAGCTTTCTACTTCCAAGGATTGACCAACTGGTAGACTCTAGGCTGGGCACGAGTTATTGAGCTTCATGGACGCATACTCCAGCTACAATCAAATCCCCATGCACCCCGACGAGGAACACACATCTTTCATCACAGACCGAGGCCTTTACTGCTACAAGATGATGCCCTTCGGGTTGAAAAATGACGGAGCAACATATCAAAGGCTCGTCAACAAAATATTTGTGGACCTCATCGGTAGGACAATGGAGGTCTATGTAGACGATATGCTGGTAAAGAGTTTGGAAGCTAGGGACCACATAACGTACCTCAACAGCACCTTCCAAATCTTGAGAAGATATAGGATGAGGCTCAACCCCCTCAAGTGCGCCTTTGGAGTGACCTTCAGCAAATTCTTAGGATACATGGTCAACTAACGTGGTATTGAAGCCAACCCTGAGAAGATTGAGGCCCTATGCAAGATGAGGTCCCCCCAAAAGCTAAAGGAGGTGCAAAGCTTGACTGGACGAGTGGCCGCGCTTAGTCGCTTCGTCTCCAAAGCTACGAACAAATACCTCCCATTTTTCAAAGTGCTAAAAGTTGGGAAGAAGTTCCAGTGGAATGAGAAATGTGAAGAGGCCATCCAGAGCCTGAAAAGGCACCTAGGGCAGGCCCCCCTCCTCTCCAAACCGAAGCTTGATGAAATCCTATAGCTGTGTCTAGCCGTCTCCTATGAAGCCATCAGTGCGGTTCTAATCCGTAAAGAGAGAACTACCCAACTCCCCATTTACTATACAAGTAAAGTACTCCTATCGCCGAAAACCCGCTACCCAGATATGGAGAAGCTCGCTTTGGCCTTGATCACGGCCTCCAGGAAGTTGAGATCGTACTTCCAAGCCTACACCATTCATGTGCTGACTAACTTTCCCCTAAGGCAGATACTCTAAAAGCTCGATGCCTCAGGGAGATTATTGAAATGGGCGGCGGAGTTAAGTGGATTTGATCTCATGTTCAAGGTTAGGGCAGCCATCAAGGGCCAAGCCTTAGCTGACTTTGTGGCAGAATTTGCCAACTTACCCGAGGTAGATGAAATCATGGAACAAACCGAACCCCCTACGTGGAAACTATTCGTTGATGGGTCGGCTGGGGATGCCGGTTCAGGTGCCGAAATTGTCCTCATCAGCCTGAAAGGTCACAAGCTAAACTCGACGGTGAGGTTCGGGTTCAAGGCCACCAACAATGTAGTAGAATACGAGGCACTTTTCGCAGGCCTCAGGTTAACGAAATAAAAGCAAGTAAAGAGGCTACTCATCAGTAGTGACTCCCAGCTGGTCGTTAGCCAAGTCAACGCTAACTTCTCAGCCAGGGACAAAACAATGGCCTCCTACTTGAAACTGGTGATGAACCTCATCCCATCCTTTGAAAAATTTGAGTTGATCCAGATCTCCCGCATAAAAAATGCACATGCAGATGCACTCTCCAAACTTGCAAGTAGCAAGGATTTCGAACTACTCACAGTAGTCCCTATAGAGCACCTCTTCATGTCGTCAATTGAGGCCCCCAATGTGATGTGGGTCACTGGGACTCCTACCTGGATGCAGCCCATCGTGGCAAACTCAAGGACCAAGTACTTCCCACTGACAAGCATGAGGCCTACAAGCTAAGGAAGAGGTCAGCCCATTTCCTCTTCATTGATGATGTACTCTATAAGAGGAGCTTCTCCTCTCCATTCTTACGATGCCTCGGAGGAGAAGAGGCTACCTACATCTTAAGAGAAGTCCATGAGGGTGTGTGCGGCAACCACTCTGGAATTCTATCTTTGTCACAAAAAATACTGAGGCAGGGGTACTACTGGTCTACCTTGAAAAGGGACGCCCTCGAGTTTGTACGAAAATGTGACAAATGCCAACGATTATCTCCTGTCCAAAGACAACCATCGCAAGATTTGACCGCGGTCTCCAGCCCTTGGCCTTTCTCGAAGTGGAGTGTGGACCTCATAGGTCCTCTACCAAAAGGCAAAGGAGGTGCGAGCTTCGCAATTGTGGCCATTGATTACTTCACGAAGTGGGTTGAAGCTGAACCCCTGACAAAAATTACAGAAGCTAACACTTCCAAATTCTCGTGGAAGAATGTCATATGCCAGTTCAGGATTCCCTACTTGATCGTCTCAGATAATGGTAGATAGTTCGACAACAAGAAGGTCAAAAGCTTGTGTGAAGAACTTGGCATCAAGAAACACTTTTCCACGCCTCACCACCCATAAGCAAATGGCTAGATTGAGGCTGTGAACAAGACGATCAAGCACGTCCTGAAAAGAAAGCTTGATGTGTCAAAAGGGGCCTGCGTGGATGAGCTGCCACAGGTTCTTTGGGCAATCCGAACCACTGTGAGGACCCCAACAGGGGAAACACCTTTCCTCATGGCATATGGGACTGAGGCAATGAGCCCTGTCGAGGTCGGACTTCCATCTCCACGACGTCTGCATTTCAATGAGATAACAAACGACGAGTTTCGCAGGTGCGACCTCAACTTCATTGAGAAAGAAAGATGATGAAGTACTTCAACTCAAAGGTAAAGAAGAGGTCATTTCGAATAAATGACTTGGTCCTCAGGAGAGTCTTCCTCTCCTCAAAAGAACCTGGCACCGGTTCCCAGGGTCCGAACTGGGAAGGTCCATATAAAATCAGAGAGGAGATCCGACCCGGGACCTACTGGATTGAAGACATGAATGGCAAGGCACAACCCCGTCCATAGAACATTGAGCACCTCCGAATCTATTATCAATGAATGTACTACTTCATTGGATGATCTTTCCCAGCTTATGCAACATTTCCATGATTCAATAAAATTATTCATGATTGAATTCACGTGTCGCATTACGTCGTCACCTCGAAGGAGAGGCCAACGTCCTATCCTTGGGCCACCTTGTTTGAACTCCGAGGCGCATGCACTTGTCTCCTTTGGCGAGGCTGAACGCCACTGGGAGAAGTCTCGGCATGGCTGAACCATCCACCATGTTAGGAAGCGTCGTCACCTCGGAGGAGAGGCCAGCGTCCCATCTTTGGGCCACCTCATTTGAACTCCGAGGCGCATGGACTTGCCTCTCTTTAGTGAGGCTGAATGCCACTGGGAGAAGCCACAGCATGGCTGAACCATCCACCATGATGGGAAGCGTCGTGACCTCAGAGGAGAGGCCGGCATCCCATCTTTGGGCCACCTCGTTTGAACTCCAAGACGCATGTACTTACCTCCTTTTGGCGAGGCTGAATGCCATTGGGAAAAGTTTCAACATAGCTAAACCATCCTATTTATGCACAAGGCTCAACCAATACTGGCTTCACGCAACTACCTTTCGAATTAGACAGCAATATTCTCAGTTCGGCTGAAACATGGTCCAGTCAGATCCATTTAGGTTACAATTATTATGTTTAAGTACAATTCATTTGCTTAAGTCCAATACTGTTCATTACTTGCTCAAGTGATTGGAGTTAGGATACCAAGTTAAAGTTATTTTGTTCTTCAATCAACATTAAGTTCAATTGCTTGACGAGGCCAATACACTTTGGAGAAAAATATTCAATGAAAGAAGATATTGTATTGATTTTCAATCAATGCTACAAAATGGCGACCTAAGGCCAGTACATCAGAAATAATTGAAAAGAAAACTATCCTAAGCCTGGGACGACGATGGAGGTGCCTCAACAGCCGGGGCCTCCGCGGCTTGAGCATTAGAACTTTCTTCTTCTGCCTTTGCTACTTCATCTCCAACTGCCTCATCAGCTGGGGTTTGAGGCACTTCATCCACAAACTCCAACCTCAGCCGTGATAGGTCTTGATCTGGGTAGAGTTCCTTAGCCCTCTCCATCATCTTGGCATAAGCAAAATTTCTCCAGCAAGTGCTGAAGCTCTTGTACTCCTCGGTATTGTGGAAGTTGGCGATGTAGTCATTCACAGCCTCCTCCCTCGCCTCATGGGCCTCCTCTCTTGCCTTGGTTGCATTATCAACATACCACTTTATCTGGCCCTCCAAGAACTTGTACGCTTCTTGGGCCCCAGCCAGCTCCAAATTTGTTTTCTCCAAGGCTTCCGCAGTCACCTTCTGGTGGTCATTGGAAACCTCCACTTTCTCAGTTAAGGAGGCCACCTTGCATTGGGACTCATACACCTCCTTCTTCAACGCCTTGATCCAAGCCAAGGCAGACTTTAGCTTGGCCATATCTTCAAGTTTTTGGGCTCTTGCTTCCTCCGTCTCGACTCTAGCTCCCTTTAGCTCCTCTATAAGGGAGGCCATCTTCTTCTTCGAGGACTGAGTCCTTGTTTGAAAGTCAGTAAGGGCCTCCCTGCACTATAGTAAGAGGCCAAAAGTCCTCACACTTTGGCTCATGAGGGCCCTTGTCAAGTCTGTGGCGTCACATGAGGAGGCATGCAACTGCCACCGATCCGTCCAGAATTTGTAGAAGCTTTCTATGGCACTTCCAATCTCAGGTGGCAAAGCCTCTACCAATGCTGGAGCTAGAACCTCCTCCCTTTCGACAAGGAAGCTCAGAGACTTCCATTGTACCCTCGCAGGCCTCTGCTTGGTGGCCTCCTCCTCTGCCGCCTCAGTTGCCCTCTTCGCAGCCTCTTCCTTGGCTTCCTCAGCCTCGGCTCATTGAACCATTTCTATCTTTATCGTTTTCGAGGCGGATGCAAGGAGCTTTGGCTGAGTGACGTCTCTGCTTTCATGGGACACATATGTCCCGAATTTTCCTGACGAGTTGGTAATGTACACTAGCTTCCTCTTCTTTGGCTCCTCGGGGACCTTCTCTTTCCCCCGAGGCTCTTTAGCCTTCTCCAACCTCTGAGGTGCCCCCTCTTAGGGAGCCCTTGAGTTTTATCTTTAGAGAGGTGCTCGACCCTACCCCAAACCTCTTTGGCACCACTGGACCCCAGCTTCAGGGGCCTCGCCTCTACAGTGGATGTGGCCCTGAGTATAGAGGCCATGTCAGGGGCTGGGTATTCCCTTATCTTGAACTTGTCTACAGAACATGTCAATGCATCAACATCAAAACAAAAGGGAAGAAATACACAAGTAAATGAGCTTCTTACCCTTGGAGGCCATCGTTCGAAATCATGGAAGTAGCGACTTCAGCTAATGAGGTGGTCGAAGTGGCGAAACTTGAGAGGTCTCTTGTAAATGTCCTCTATCACTTCAAACTCCTCCTTGCTCAACCCGAACCTCGTACTGCTATCTGCAAAGGAAGCTTCAACAGTTAGATCTAAAGAAATTTGAATACCGAATGCAAACTTAGGCTGGGAAACTCACGAGCTTCGTAGTACTGGGTCAGTACTGTGCAAGCCAAAGTTGTATCCTCCTCCATCACCTGCCACCTGTCCCTCACCCAGAACCATGACTTCTTCCACCCCTTAATGGAAGAAGGCAGCCCACCACAAATGGTGCATGATCCCCCAGGGAGTTAAGTAATACCACCCCCTCGATTCCTTACCTATTACCCTAGACAGGAATAAGGTCATGAAGACGTGGAGAGGCATATCCTCCCAGAGTGACACTTCCTTCCATAGGAAGTACGAGCCAACCAACTGGCTCCACCCATTTGGCAGAACCTGGGTCAACGAAAACATGAAGTTCTTCAACACCACCCTGAAAAATGGGTGCAGAAGAAGATGCATACTTGCCTTAAACAGGTACTCGCTCACCGCCACGCATCCAGGCCTCGGATAGTAGGCTCACTCATGGGCCTCGGGTACTAATATCTCTACATAATGAGGTACACAATACCTCTCCTTAATCTTCCCCAGCCTCTTCAATGTCATACTCGAAGGGACTCTAGACGCCGCCCCCCACTCTACACTATAGTCTACTGCCTCCTCGGTCATAGCATATTGCTCAACCTCAGAGTCCCCCCTGTAACTAGACCCTTGACCAAACGACGCGACAGCGACCAACTCCTTACCCGAGGTGGACTCCATTTCAAAAAAATGACTAAAAATGCAATACAAGGGATTTTCTATGAAAATACCTACGGGAATAAATACGCCGACGGAATGCTGCCGAAAAATCGGGGGACAAAGAGCTTCGACGCCGGAAAACTTAAACTTTGGAAGAAAAATCAGATTGCAAAGGTAGAAAATCTAGAAAAATGGGGGTCTCTCGCCTTTCATAAGGGGCCAGGATGAACCCCAACCGTCTGATCAAAGCCCATCCAATCTGAACCCTTCATTCTAAATCAAATCCGAGGTGTAAAATTCAAACGATTTTTCAAACCTACACCTCAGATTAAAGCGTGTCTCCCATGCACCTCCCCCAATGCGTCTGCTTCTACAAGCTCCAGTTGTTCTCATGATTACGACTTTAAATCGATGGCAGTAGGGGCCTTGGAAGTTATAACGGTTCAGCCACCTTTCTTCGAAAATATGCGTAAAACATCAAATCATTGGCACAACTACCAAGGAACAATCATTGTCAATGCGCCTCAGATTTCAACTATCAAGCCTCGCAAGTTCGGTTCTCCAACCACCTCGGCTTCCTCTTCATCACTCAGCCAGCAAGCCTCGTAGGTTCGATTTCCCAACCACCTAAAAAGTCTCGTAGGTTCAGTTTTCTAACCACCTCGGCTTCCTCTTCATCACTCAGCTAGCAAGCCTCGCAGGTTCAATTTTCCAACCACCTCGACTTCCTCTTCATCACTCAACCAACAAGCTTCGCAGGTTCAGTTTATCAACCACCTCGGCTTTATCATTCTCTTCACTCCTCAGACAACAGCAAATCTCTAACTCCAACCATGATAAAAATATCTATACTTGGACTTGGGGAACTATTATTTGGGATACAAAAATTTCAAAAATTTCTTTCAACTTAACTTGCTGGCTTTACTTCATCAAAGTTCTCACATTACATAAATGACTATACTTGGACTTGGAGGACTATTATTACATGTTCGCACACTTGGGCAACCCATCGGGGCCCACAGCCAACTCATGCCAAACCACATGGCACTCAATCCGAGGTGATTTGCATGGCTGAGGCCTACAAATCGAGGTGCATAGATGCCTAGGCCCATATACACCGAGGCCCATTTATCATTGCCTTTTGAGGAGCTTTCGATTTTCGAAGCACATATGCCGAGGCCCTTTGAATGTGGACGAGGCCCTGTTGGTCGAAGCTCTGTAGCCAAGGTAGTTGACTCCGAGTCACAAAGCAGCATCTTTCATGACACTTCTCTCAAGAGATCCTCTGCACAAAGATCTTACTAAAATGATTGATAGGACGTTTGTCATGAGTGTAAATGTTAAGTCTTGTCACTAGTAGAGGCGGCTTTGCCAATCAATAAATGTATAGCAGGCTAGGTGCGGCTGATGCCTACAATTTGACATGTAAATTAACCGGATAAGGCCACGTGTACCCCGAACTAAAGGTCACGATCTAACTTGTGACACTATAAATGCTCCCCCATGTACCCCATACAAAGGCTAATGCAAGAGTCAATATAAGAAATCATACTTTACTCAACTCTCTTTTTATCTTGCAGCATAAATGAGTTCATACATTTTTAAATACACATTTACCAAACATCGATTGGTAATTATTGTACAATCGATCTACAATCATCTCGTCGAATTCTGAATGTTCTCGTCACGCGTAGTTGAGCTACTCCACGCCCTTGATCTGTCCATTTTAGACCGTCCACATGTCTTTGCATGTTGGACTTTCGCTTATGTGTGCGCGGGTGGGTCCGGTATCTGTTGGAAACATTCATTGGGGTCAATAGCCATCATGGACCTTTGAAAAATAGTCGGTGCATTGCATAGGCCGAATGGCATCTGTCTGTAGGCAAAAGTTTTATAAGGGTGGGTGAATGTTGTCTTTTCCCGACCTTCTGGTGTTATTACAATTTGATTGTAGCCCCAGTATCCATCGAGGAAACAATAGTGAAAGTAGCCCGCTAATCTATCCAACATTTGATCAATGAACGGAAATGAAAAATGGTCCTTTCTAGTTGTTTTGTTCAGCTTCCGATAATCAATACATACCCTTCAACCAGGTATTGTTCTTGTTGAAATTAGCTCATTATTATTGTTCTTAACTACTGTCATCCCATCTTTCTTTGGTACTACCTATATTGGACTAACCCATTCACAGTCTGAAGTAGCCAAAATAATCCTCGCCTTCAGTAGCTTTAAGATCTCTGTTCGAACTACTTCTTTCATGGCTGGATTTAACCTTCTCTGATGTTCAATGGATGGCTTGGATGAATCTTCCATGAGAATTTTATGCATAAAAATTGTAGGACTTATTCCCTTGATGTCAGCTATGGACCATACCAAAGCAGCCTTGTGTTCTCTTAACACTTTCAATAATCTATTTTCTTCGTCCCTTGTGAGTGATGAAGAAATGATAATTGGAGATATGGAATTGTCCTCCAAGAATGCATAGCGAAGGTAATTTGGTAATTGCTTCAGTTCAATTTTGCTGTTTGCATTACTCTCTTTATCATCTGATCCCACTTATTGCTTAATATCTTCGCATTGCAACGGGTTGTCCTCAATTGGTGCAGATTCAAGAGCCAATATGCAATCAACTAAATCCTTGTTTCCTGTGTACCTTTCAAAAGTTATTATGTCATCCTTTGTTGCACTGAACATCATACAATGTTCCAAGGGGTCTTCAATGTATAATTGTTCTTCTCTCACAGCAGAATGAATGAAGTCAATTCTGTGGCAAGTGTCAGTGTCATCCGCGTACTTCATTGCTTGGTAGATGTTGAATCTCACTTCTTCTTCATTCACTCTTAATGTTAGATGCCCTCATTGTACATTAATCAATGCTCTTCCTGTTGCTAAAAATGGCCTGCCTAAGATTAATAGAATTTCCTGATCTTCTTTCATATCTAATACAACAAAATCAATTGGAAAGATAAATTTGTCGACCTGTACTAACACGTCTTCAATAATCCCTCAGGGATATGTGAGGGATTTATCAGCTAATTGTAGAGTTACTGTTGTTGGCTTGACTTTCCCAAGGCCTAACTTTTTGAACACTGATAAAGGCATCAAGTTGATGCTTGCTCCAAGATCACAGATGGCTTTGTCAAAAGAGGAGTTTCCAATGGTACAAGGAATAGTGAAACTGTCTGAATCTTTTCTTTTCTGAGGAAGTTTTTTTGAAGGATAGCACTACATTCTTCTGTCAATTTTATTGTTTCATACTTCTCTAACTTCCATTTATTTGATATCACTTCCTTCATAAACTTCGCATAGTTCGGTATTTGTTCCAAAGCATCTGCAAAAGGAATATTAATGTGAATTTTCTTGAAAATTTTTAAAAATCTAGCAAATTGATCATCAAATTTTTTCTTTTGAAAACGTTGTGGGAATGAAAGTGCTGGTTTGATGATGGGTGGGTTGTCAGGGAATGATATGGAATACGGTCTGTGAGCCTTTTGTTTTCCCTTGGCCTAATTTTCTTGCTCTATTGCTACTTGTTCTTCTTCCTTGTCAGGTGTGGAAATGCTTTCTTCTGTGGGTCCAATTCCTCCAGCTTTCTTGTCACTTCTCAATACAACAGCCTTACAGTGTTCCTTCGGGTTGGCTTCCGTATCATTTTGAAATTTTCCCTATTGCTGAGATTTCTTTGATGTAGCCAATTGAACAATTCGAACTTCAAGATTCTTCATTGTAGCTCCCATGTTTCGATGTTGTCTAAATGTGACTCATCCTTGTTGAAGCGCGATCTTGTTTCGGAGAAAAAGGTCCCAAGGGTGTCTTCTAAGGATGGTTTTCCTTCAAAATTCTGAGAGTTGAATCCAGGTGGAGGCTGAAGTATGTTTCCATTGTTGCTATAAGATAGATTTTCATGATATCTCAACCTAGGATGATAGTGATTAGACGAGTAGTTTCATCTCTGATTGTAGTTCCTATTGCTGACATATTGAGCTTGCTCATTTGCTATCTCTGTTTCCTGGTTTGATGAAGAGGCAACCATAACTGAATCTGCTTTCTGTTGGTTTCCTTGAGTGGTGACTGTGGCTATTGGATTTGTGAGTGATGAAACCTGAGCTGTTAATGCTGTGAGGGGTCCAGTTCATGAAGTCCTGCTGCTCT